CTCTCCGACACCTTTTATAAAAACATCATCCTTATTGTTATCGATCCTTTAGACTGAACTACGCAGCAGTCCGTCAGCACGACTGTACAGAAGCAAATGATGCATAAAACGAGCGGCTCTGAAGTGAGACACACCTTTAGAAACGGGGAAGCAGCCGTTTAGCAGCACTCATTACAAGTTCCTGCATCATTTAACTGCAATAACCTTAAAACTGTTGACCACTCACTCTTACTTGTGAGCCACTCGGAGAGAAACGGTGTTTATGTCGGGCTTTGATTCGAGCTACTTACAAACGAGGACCAACGAGCGAGTTTTTAAGAGTAATTTATTGCAAAAGTGAAGTGATGCTGGTTTGAGCTCCATTAAAATGTGACCGAGAGCTTCTTGATGATTTGACACCTGCGTAAGTCTTCTGTGCAGCTTCATCGGTGGCTCAAAAGCCTCAGTTCTTGGCTTTTAGTCCAGTTCTCTGGTGACAACGTTTGAAAAAAAAAAACAAAAAAAGCCTGTAAGTGCTGGTTTGACTACAGTAAGAGAAAAGAAAAGAGCCGGAGACCAAATGCAAATGACGTCCTTTCTCCGCTCCATCATCTTCAGTCTGCATAATGAGCTGCTGAAATTGCTACAATTAAGTATTATTATAAACATTTGAGACCATTTGTGAGTTTTATTTTCGTGGAATAAAGTTAAAATACTGGCCAAATGGATTAGTATTAGCCTTTGAATAAAACCCAAGCGGCTCCTGTCTCAGCACTTCACACTGGAGGAGGAGGAAAAAATAATAACGTTGAATAATTCATCGGCTTCATGCTAAATAAAAGTATCAGGGGAAGTCTTCTTCACAAACGGGTCCCACGAGGTAATAAAACTGTCCCACGTGGCCCGGCGGACTAAGAAGCCATAAAATAGTGAACGACTGTGACACCGGCTCATGATTTATGTCCCACGTCTTCAGATTCCTCATGCTCATCTTAGTGTTTCTCCATAAAGTCCAAAACAGCAGCGGAGCCATAAAATAATCCTAAAAGTGCTCCAGGAACCCGTGTTTTGTCTAAATCATTCCACTTGTTCTCTCTGATCCTGGCTTTTCTCAGCAGAGACACATTTATTGCCTAAAATACACAAACACACGGCAGAGTATTATTTAATTCAGAACCGTGTATTGAATCAGTGACAGACACGGTCAAAGCATGTTAACGAGAAATGTGATATAAGCTTCAAAAAAAGACTCCAAGAGGGAAACAAACAGGAGCGACAGGTGTAGGTGATATGTGCTAATTATTCTGTGCATCATTAATTAGGACTGAGCCTCTTTATTCATGATCGGGATCAACAGATGCATTCATAAAGGAACTCATTCAGCTTCCTTTGGTCATTGTTCCTGTTAATAAGAAAAGAAATGGTGATGAAACAGATGGAAGCTGCTCACTGATGCCGGCTGTGCATCTAGAAAACATGTGAAATGAAGGATTTACATGTGATTCATGATGATAAAGAAAAATGCTGAAAATTTGGCAAACAGGAAGTCGTCAGCGTCTCAGAAAACCTCCTGAAATGTTCAAATGATATTTTCTAAATCATGAGCCTCCCATGCTGGATTTAATGAGGTTGCACCAGAATATTTTACCGCATTTTATGTGACTTGCATCGAGGTAATCAGCAGCTTCTTTCTGTCTGGTTCTGTTTCTGGCTGCTGTTTGACCTTTTTAACGGTTATTAGACGGGTTGTCAGGGCGACTCGTCCGTTAGCAGTCGAGGTATTTCGTAATGTTTTTTTTTTGTTGCTTTGGACGGACACACAAATTAAAGCAGATCCATCGCGCAACATCAGAAGCAGCAGGAAGTCCTGCTAAAAATACGATCGGAAACGTTTAAACCCATTAAACGGAGCAAGTCTAAATGAGAGTTATTGCCTCCACTCACAGTTTGCTTCCCTTCAAACCAAATCAACAGCCGCATCTCTCCGTTACACAAAAACAATCAATCAATTAGTCGCCAGGCTTCAGGTGGCGCAATCATCGGTGCTCGAGCCGTCGTAATCACTGGACACGTTCTCCCTGCAGCCTGATAACGGATTCAGTGATTGGTGGAGGAGACTTGTGCTCGTTCACAGCTCGCTCGGTTCGTCCGTCGTTTCCCGCCAGCTTCAGCGGAAACGAAACATCCGAGTCACCTTAAGAACACCTGCCGAGGCACGGCGGCGCTCGTTTACCGTCCTGTCTGCGAGTATTCATTTGGAATCGCAAACAATGGCGGGGACGGCGGAGGACAGACGCTGGGCCGAGGCTGTGACATTTGCGGCGTTCGGGGTTTTTGGTACAGAGAAACACAAAAGGCAACGGTGACATTTAAGAATAATAAAGGACGGGCGGCGCTCACTGATGTGTTTAGTGAAGCATCTGCTCGGGTCCTGGGGTGTTAAACAGCCACACATCCGCCCACACACACTCACAAAGAAGCAGGTTTTGAGGTAAATAACACCTGACGTGTAAGTCGGCCGCCTCTCGCCGCTCCGCACGGAGACTAAACGTCGGAGGATGTGTCGCCCTCTGGTGCTCTGACTCATATGCTAATGCTGCTGTGATACGGGAGGAACGTCGGAGGGCGAGAAGGTAAAAATAGACCCAAGAGACACTTCAGGGGATTGTGAAGAGGAAAAAGGACATTCACAGGGACCCGGTCCTGTGAACTAATCACGTCTTTAATCACAGATTATGAAAGAACGACAAGGAATCCTGCATTAGCCTGGTCAGCTTAGCAGAACAGGGCTTCANAACTGACACCTAAACATTGCTGGAGACCACGTCCACTCCAACATGGCAGCAGGACTCTCTGGTAGCCTCTTTAGCCGGGACATCATTACACACTAGACTACAAACATGATTCAACAGTGGTTTGAGGAACATGACAAAGACTTCAAGGTGTTGCCTCAAAATCCCCCAGATCTAACTTACATCACTTGATGGTTTTTTTAACCTTCCCTACTTGTGCTACTCTGAGACTTTTACATTCATCACAAAATTCAGTCCGTTTAACAAAAGTTAGTCACCATGAGGTTGTAGATATGAACCTAAAAACACTGCATTTACTCAGACTTGCAGATTTTACTTTATTATGACATGTGTATGTCATTTTCGAGCACAATCATAAATGTGCAAACATGACAACACTGTTTTTTTCTTAATTAGTGGTATTTTACAGATTTTTGTGTAAGATGTATATATATATACTTTTTTTTTTTTTTAAATTAAAGACAATACTTTCCCCATGATTTTACTGGTATTAGTTTACAATTTCATTTAAAAAAGGGCCAAAACTGTTAATGTCCACATCAAAAGTCTGTATTTTTATAAACAGTACTTTATTCTTTTACATTGTTTGACTGTAAAATCCCACTATATTTAAATCAGTAAAATAAAATCATTATTTTTTACACATATTTGCAGTTATTTAAAAGAAAAAAAGTATATAAAGGATTACAAAAGGGGAAATAATTTAACAGTTTTTTTTCCACAATTCTGCTAAATTACAGGCATCCAGTGAAATTGTAGAATAAAAGTACTGATTTACATAAAGACTATATAAAAACAAAACAAATGACAACAAAAAACAGGCCACATGTGTTCATAAAGTCCCCATCAAACATGAATTCTTATAAATATTATATTATTCTTTTAGACTAAGTCACTGTAAAATCACAGTTTTATTTTATTCAAATCAGCTAAAAACCAAAAAAAGAAGAAACAAACAAAAACTATCATTATTTTACAGATATTTTCCTCTTTTCCAACTATTTGTTTTATTTCTGAACTCTCAGAAAAAGCTGCAAACATAAACTAAATATACATTCCTGATCTTCCCAGATCTCTCCGACACCTTTTATAAAAACATCATCCTTATTGTTATCGATCCTTTAGGCTGAACTACGCAGCAGTCCGTCAGCACGACTGTACAGAAGCAAATGATGCATAAAACGAGCGGCTCTGAAGTGAGACACACCTTTAGAAACGGGGAAGCAGCCGTTTAGCAGCACTCATTACAAGTTCCTGCATCATTTAACTGCAATAACCTTAAAACTGTTGACCACTCACTCTTACTTGTGAGCCACTCGGAGAGAAACGGTGTTTATGTCGGGCTTTGATTCGAGCTACTTACAAACGAGGACCAACGAGCGAGTTTTTAAGTGCAATTTATTGCAAAAGTGAAGTGATGCTGGTTTGAGCTCCATTAAAATGTGACCGAGAGCTTCTTGATGATTTGACACCTGCGTAAGTCTTCTGTGCAGCTTCATCGGTGGCTCAAAAGCCTCAGTTCTTGGCTTTTAGTCCAGTTCTCTGGTGACAACGTTTG